TATGAAAATTGTATTTGAATTATTTATCGTTTTGAAACTTTATATAATTATATACACCTGAGGATGGTTCTTTTAGGAACTGGAACATGAAAAAAGATGATGGTCTAATGTAAATCGAATATTTCGATAAAGAACATTATTTAAAATTTAAATATTTTAAATGTTAATTATTGTAATATTTTAATATTTAATAAGAATTATTTTGATTAGACGGACAAGATTTAATATATACTTATTATATCACAATATGACGCAACTTTACCATCTTATCTGTATCTCTGCTTAATTAAATAATGTAATTCGATTTTATTTGTACTGTAATCTAAAATTGTATCGAAGTTATTTTAACATTTATATAGTATTACTTCATAAAATCTGAAATCCCTTAACAAGAAATGATCACCATACCATGGCAACGGTAATAACAACAAACAAATTCACAAATAGTATCACATAAAGCCCTAAATCCCATAACTGCAGCAAATGATCACCAACCAAGCAACGACCATTACTTATTATATAGATAGATGTTAAATGGTGAACACGCTTATTAAAAATATTATTAAACTCCAGTAGACGTAATGGCCGGTGAGGTTTGTGTTCGTCTTATGGGCAATAACATTCTGTAGGTAGAAACATCATTGGCATGTACCCACAGGTCCACACGACGTCATCGTCCAGAATACCAACATCGACGCAATGCCAAGTGTTTAATTATCGGCTTATCATCGCACAAGTCCAGATTCAATATTATTCTGCTTCACACGGAAATTAGTGAGGACATTAGCACTAAGGTTCGGGTTTATCGCCAACTGCAGCGGTTTTCCAATTCACTCATTTAATTCTGCTCATTCCACTGACCAACTGCTCTGTAACGGCTCTGTCATTCTATTAACTTGTTTAATTGTACTCAGTCACTCCGTTAAAATACTCCAACCGTCGCAGGTGCGTCTCTGGTTTCTCATTGAACGTAAATGTTTTTGACTTCTATTGAGTAAGTGATAGGTTCTAATCCCCTTCGGGACATCGCAATCTTGACTAGTATTATTCGTAATTTTTCTCAGTTCCTTCATACAAATTCCAGGATTTTCCTTTATTGGCGATGACCTGTTCTTTTTTATGCATGGACGTGATTAGAAATGCATACGAAATTTTGTTAGGAAGACAGGCGAGTGACTCTCAGTTTCAGAAAAAGAATTCGTAGTCAGTGGAGGTAGTTTTATAGGTTCGTCCTGTGAAAAAGCTGTGGAACTGTGCACCGTTGAATTTGAGGCTGATGTTCAATTAGTGTGAGGCGAACTTTTACGAAGTCTGATCACGTTTTGTCGTTATGTCGAGAGTTGGTGGGTTCCACGTAACTGTGTGACGACTGACTGAAGAAAAGTGACATTTACAGAGCGCCCTACAATCCCATTCCAGACGATTCTCACATCACCAAACACGTGTCTTCCTGCTTCCGGTCATTACGTGTTACTTACAGGTTGCAATGCAATTCCTTACGAAATTAATGAACAAGCTGTTGGCACTGTTACCAAGAATTGTGTGGCCGCCTTTCGGTCTGCAGCATCGTCGTTCAATAAAGCGCACGTGTTTTTCCTTGTGATATTAATGTCTTTGCTTAACAAGTTAACGTTAACAGCGTAGACAAAAAGCAGATGT